TAAATAAATAAATAAATAAATAAATAAATAAATAAATAAATAAATAAATAAATAAATAAATAAATAAATAAATAAATTGTTGTGATAATGTGGTTTAATTTTTAAATAAAGCATCAAAGCCTTTTTCAAGATCACGGACAACCAAAAGTTTACTTTAAATTTTTCGTTTCATAGTTTTTGATCAATGTGTTTAGTGTATGATTTACAGTTCATTATTTGCTTCTAAATAATGTTTAGATGTTTTATAATTTTTCAGGATGATTTGAAATGATTGATAACCACGCTGTAAAAAGTTTGCTATAACATGTTTTTTACTGATATGACGTTATTTGTATCTAATGGCATGTTGTAATATTTCATGTATTGGTGTTATTGCACTGGTATTCCATAAACGAGGGTAAGTGCTTGTGTCCGGTATATGATTACATGTTTTTGAAGTGCTTTCGAATTCTTCATGTAATGTTCGCATGATTTAAGAAATAGGTTGGAATACCATCTGAACCAGTGGCTTTGTTATTCTTTTTATTTTTGAGGGTCAAATGCAGCATCTTGAATAAGTAGGTTTCCCACTGTATGATTCGACAATAGAAAAAAATTGCCTAGAAATATGAAAAATGATGAAGTGTTTCACAATAATACAGCTAACGATTGGGTTATTTCTATATGATAAATATTTAATATATCTTCATTGCCCTTGCTGGTTCATCATTTCATTTAGCGGTAATAATTATTGATGTATAGAGTGTGCTGGCGGCGTTTAATCTCTCATCCCTATTATGTTTATTTTTTTCCAATTTACCGTGGAAATGAGATCGCAAATGCCAAAAATCAAATAAATGTTATTACACTGAGGGGGCTTGTTCAACAATTAGTCGTGCGCTAATAACAATTCCACATATAAAGACGAAGCACAAGAGACGAGAACCTTACAACTGCAGTGTGTAAGTAATTGGTCTCATTCTACATCTAATGAAACTTTTATTAGAAAACAGACGGTTGTGGAACGTGATAATCGATGTTCATGTTGTTCACGCCCATGACCGTGGCGGGAGAGTAGCTTTACATATCAATTCATAATGTCAATGCCACGTTATTTCCAAGTAGGACAGAAATATCCAGCCATTGGAATACAATTTAGCCTTTTTCACCTTTATTTACAGAGCTTTATTTGTTTCTGACTGCTCTGTGCGTAGGCGGAGTTGATCTTTCGCTCTTGTGTATATATCCGAAAACCTGTTCTTTATATATTATCCCGCAGGATAATTCTTGTACCGTAAGGTAAGTTGATATCTGGAAATCAATTTGGTATACGCATATCCATTAAATGACCTACGAGTATATGGGTGTAGACGTAATTTTACTGATGCTTATGGCGAATGTAATGAGTTTTTGTAATGCAGTAGACATTTCATCGAACATTGTTTCACGTATTAAATCTATGCGGTGTAACAGATGATACAGGCTTTGCGTGTTTTGGCAGGACATACATTGTGATTAACATTTTCACATGTTGATAAATTAATCAAAATAAACAACCTTTTACGTAACTATCTATTATAATTTACTATGAATTTCAAATTTGTATATATTTTTTCAGAATGATTCTGAGGGAATTTAACCCACCACAAATGGTTAGCAAGCGTTCAAAAGGAAAATTTTTATTTTCCATCTCAAATGCGATATCTGCTACTTGTCTCAATCTTACTTATATCCCACTTTCTGCTGTTACGATCAGATGTCAAACTGACATGAATGAGCTTGTTTATAACATCTCTTAAAGCGGGAGCGTCGTCACCTGCGCACGCGCAGTGACGAGTCCCAAGCGACGATAACAACACACGCTAAAAACGCAAAGGCTCATGGGTAGACGCTTGTTTGTAAACAATGACACGCTATGGCCGTCTGACGCATGCGCAGGTGACGACCCCCCGCCATAATGTTTCATTATCTGAATATATTATTTTCCAAACATAGCCAAATGATCTGTGCACAGTTTGGGA